TTTACCATATGTGTGTTAAGATTTATGGACATCTGAGGCCAGCGTTGTGGCATAGCGGGTTAAGCTACCACCCATGATGCTGTCCCATGTGGTAGCCTGTTCGAGTCCCGGCTGCTCCACTTCTGATCTAGCTCCCTGCTGATGCACCTGGGAAAGCAATGGAAGATGACCTAAGTACTTGGGTCCCTGCACCCACATAGGAGACCTGAATGAAGTTAGTAGCTCCTGGCTTCAGCCTGGTCCAGCTCTGGCTGTTGTGGCCATTTGGGCAGTGAGCCAGCAAATGAAAGATCTCTCCCCCTCTCTCCCTCTCCATCTCTCCTTCTGTCTCTTTAACTCTGCCTTTCAAATAAAAACATCTTTTAAAGAAAGAAAGATATATATCAATATCCATGCCCAGTGCTCATCTAAAGGAATATGTACTGATGATAAGGACCTTTATATTGTGGCAACACCCAACTGCATGTAGCGTCTGCCACTGTCAATGGGATTGATGCCCCAGTGTGTTCATTTATTCATTCATTTCTCCTTTAATGAGTGCCTTCTACTTGCCAGATACTAGAAAATAAAAGGAATGAAACATGGACCCTGCTCTGGGAGTTGATAGTAGATGTGTTTAGTCTAATAGTTCAGTTCAATCTTGAGCAGTCCCAAGATGGAAATGCAGTGATTTCACTTAGTAAGTGCTCAGTGAAGTGTGCACTGGACTCGAAATCAGGAGACCAGGTTTGCATTCTGGCCCTGACATTTTCCAGTGGTATGACCTTGTGGGAAAGTTACATCACCTTTCTGAACCTTAGTTCCCTTGACAAAAAAACAAAAACAGGCAGTGCACAGAGCTGCTATGCAAAGTGAGATTTCCAGAATGGGAAACATTCTTCCTTTATCTCTGCAACTCTCAGTCTACCGGTAGGATTTTTCTCTGTAAATTTCCTTTTATAGTATAGAGGGTAACAGGGATGCAGGGAACCCAGGGCTTCTGCCAATTTTTCTGCAGAATTTTGTGTCTGTGCATACACATTTTTCCAGGATACAACTCTCATCTAATTTTCAAAGGGGACCATGAGTCTGCAGAGTAGGAATGTTTGAGCTTTCTTCCGGGAGGATGGTTATCAGAGATATTACTTAGCAGTAGTGTAATTAGATGGACCATGTAAACAATGTAATCAATTCTCAAGTACAGTACCCTTTCTTTGGGCATTAAGGAATCCTTCCAAGTTTCTCCATGACCAGAAATAATAATGCCATGTTCGAAAGAAGCAGGAACTAAATTAGTATAAAAATACATTCAGAGTGAGAATCTTGATAGTTTTATCAATAATCACTTTTAAGGGCCAGCATTGTAGTGTAGCAGGTTAAACTGCTGCCTGCTATGCCTGCATTCAGTGTGGGTGCTGGTTGGAGTCCTGGTTACTCCACTTCCAATACAACTCCCTGCAAATGGGCCTGGGATGGCCTGAATGCTTGGGCCCCCACCACCTGTGTAGGAGACACAGATGAAGCTCCTGGCTCCTGACTTTGGGCTGGCCCAGTCCTGGCTGTTGAGCCCATTTGGGGAGTGAACCAGCAGATGGAAGATTCTGTGTGTGTGTGTGTGTGTGTGTGTGTCTCCCTTTCTCTGTGACTCTCCCTCTCAAATAAAAGAAATTTTAAAAAATCACTTTTAGAGTGAGAACAGCTTAAAATCTGTCAGGCTAGTGAACGTGAAATTTGAAGACAGATGAGAATATTATAAGGAATCAAAGGTACCATACTGGATTTGATATTATAAATATTATTACCCCCCAACCCCCAGCTTCAATTGCTTCCAGGATTTCCCTCCTAGGAAGCTCCTGCTTACACGGTGAGGCTACAAAATGCCTCCCTGTTTATTCTCTCTTCATTTTTAGTTTTAGAAATATAAAGTACAAAGACAAGACAAAAATTTTAAAAAACAATTTCCCTGCATTCTATCATCATAACACATTAAATGCATTAATTATTTTCTCTTCCTTGGCTTTCCTTTCTAGCCTTTAGTCCTTTTAGAAGGTGAGCTTTATAAATTGATTCGTACATAGTTACATTTTTAAGCCCAAACTCTGAGTGAGGTACTCTGTGTGGAGCTGCTCCTGCTTCCTCTAGCTCCTCTCACATCAACTGCCATTATCCAACTCAGGAGTCAATTACTAACCCTCAGTATCGTTTGAAGCCATGTGGACATCTGGCCATTGGAAAGAGACTGGAAGAGACCCTTTAACTTTCTGCCAAGCCCAGAGCAGCTGTCAAATAAATGATAATGAGTGTTTCCTCCTCCTGCTTGGGCAGGCTAAGGGCTTGGATGCCTACTCTGACTCCTTTCTCTAACATCTTCTCTAGTAACTCTGTCCTCTACCACCATCCAATATATGGCGACTTCGAGTTTGTATTTCTGCTCTGTAGGTCAAACCCAGTTGCATTGTGAAGCGTAGTTCATCACAGTGTTACTTATGGTGGTTAAAAAAAAAAGGTGCTCAAAATTCTCAGAAATGCAGAGGATGTTTAATGCATTTGAAGTATTTTTGAAGTTTAAAAAACTGAGAAAAATGCTTATGATTTACTGTTAAGAGAAGCATGGCTATAGGGTTGCACAGTGTGTACAGTCTGGTCATAGGTCTTGACATTATTTAGACATGTATGCTTGTATGCCAGATTTCAAAATTTTTTGCACCAAAATAAACATCTTTTAACTCCATTTTTCATGTTTTTGAAGTATTCATATACATACATACATATAGAGAGAATTGCAAGGAGACATAACAATGTTTTAACTGACTATATTTTGGCTGTAGGATAAGACTTCCCTTTGTCCCCTGTATTTTCTAAATTGAATGTCAAGGATGTGGATTACTTTCAGCAGTTTCAATGTTTAAAGTTAAAAGAAAACTATGATAAGCTACAACAAGTCGCTGTGTTACAGTTATTTCCAGGCTCAAGCTAATAGTTCCAAATTCAGAACATTTTCATATGTACAAAGATTCTTGGGAAAGCAACTTAAGTTTAGCTTCAAAAGGAAGACAGAATCAAAGTCTCAGAAGAAAAAATTTTTATCTGAGTAGTAAACATAAGAGAACTTCTGTTACCTTGAAAATACAGAATAGGAATGAATGTTTAATGTTTATAATTTTGGAAGGAATTTGTGTAGCTCAGATAATTTTTGTTTTTCCAGGCGCTTAAATAAAGCGTTCTCAGCTTGTAGATTAGCATGAAAGCCTCCGCACACATTTGCATATTTCACCACCTCCCTTTATGTGCACGTATATAGACATACACAGCTCATTAATCCCTTTAATTAAGAGAAATGAATCAAAGCTTTTGTCTTCTAATAAGTACTTGCTTTGTTATACTCAATATCATACCATAATCTTTGATAGTCCCTTAATGTATTTCTTTGGAAATCTCACAACCAACATTCATTATCAAGACTGCTTCTTATGGATATTCAAACAATTTCCTAAAGCTACCATCTGACATACATTTAGAAATGATCACAATACAGAATGCAATAACACATGTTAGTGCAGGTTGATCTAGAAGTGCCTTGTGATAGTGATCAAAGCAAAAATCTGATTCATGCTTCACAAATTGGGAATCTGTGATAATATGAAATAGAACTGAAACTGAAATTTCATTCGCCATTTAGAAGATTAGAATTCAGGTAAATTTACAGTATATGAAAGATTCCACAGAGGTGTTTTCTTAAGAGTAGTTATTTTAAATGTCTAATCATGCAGTCATATAAGTGGAGGCCACTCTGATGTGTAGGTTTCCTATGGGGAAATCACTTGATGCATACCCAGTCTGTTTTAGGATATTTTACATGCACTGTGTCATGTGATTCTTTAAGAGTTATTTTGAATACATAATTTTCATGTCTATCTTGTAGATAACGAAAGTTAAAAACATTCATTAACTCATTTAGGGTCACTCACCTATTCAGTAGCAAGGGCAAGTTTGAACCTAGGTTATTCTAATCAGAATAAGGCCCATAAACATTTCAATGAATCACACAGCCTTCATTCTTCATTCTTTTTTAAAAATATTTTTGTTTATTTTCAAATTACTTGAAAGGCAGAGAGAGAGAGAGAGAGAGAGAGATCTGCCATCCACTGACTCATTCCCCAAATGCAACAGCCAGGGCTGGGCCAGCCTGAAGCCAGGAGTCTGAAACCTAATCCAGGTCTCCCACATGACTGGCAGGAACCCAAGTACTTCAGGTATCAACTGCTGCCTTCTGGGTACACTTTAGCAGGAAGCTGGATTGGAGGTGGAGGAGCTGGGACTTGAAGCAGGCACTCCAATATGGTGCACGTGTGTTCTAAACAGCATCTTAACTGCTAAGTCAAATGCTTACTTCAACAAAACCTCCATTCTTATCCATTTGTTTTAGTTGATTTTTTTTTACCAGTAACATTTCTCTTTGCTTATGTCATTTAAGTGATTGAAAGATCTTGTAAAATGTTCCATGGTGGAAAGCCAAGATACTCTGGCAAAAGAAAAAAAAAAAGGACCTAAATGAAAGATCTCTGTGAGTGAGATCCCAGTGGAAAGAACAGGTCATCAAAGAAGGAGGTACCTTTCTCTGAAGGGAGGAGAGACCTTCTACTTTGACTACGACCTTGTCTAAATATGATAAGAGTCGGTGAACTCAAAAGGCTTCCATAGCCTTGGCAGCTCATGACAAGAGCCTAGGGTGATTACTGATGCCATAAATAAGAGTGTCAATTTGTTAAGTCAACAACAGGAGTCACTGTGCACTTACTCCCCATGTAGGATCTCTGTCCTTAATGTGCTGTCCATTGTGATTTAATGCTATAACTAGTACTCAAACAGTATTTTTCACTTTGTGTTTCTATGTGGGTGCAAACTGTTGAAATCTTTACTTAATATATGCTAAACTGATATTCTGTATATAAAGAGAATTGAAAATGAATCTTGATGTGAATGGAAGGGGAGAGAGAGCTGGAAAGGAGAGGGTTGCGGGTGGGAGGGAAGTTATGGGGGGGAATAAAAAAATGTTCCACGGTAATATTTCTGTTTAATATTTTGAAGAAATGAAGGATACCTGCAGAATCCCTTTGGTAAGACAACCACAAATCAGGTTGGCCTGATTTTTCAAAGCACTATTGGAAAGATACTGTTATTTAAGAACCCAACAAAGAATCTTGTACCGCTTGCTGGCCTCTCCTCCACTGAGTAGAGAGCATTGTGCATTCTTTGTTTTAACCATGCACTTTGATTCTTCTGTGATGCAATGGAGAGTGGAATTGATTCGTAATAACGAGAGATGGTTTTAAGTTGCTCTGCATACATCCCATTTCCATTCTTGGCACTCCCATCCTTTGAGCTTTACCTGGAGGCATAGGTACAGTGGTGAACAACTGCTTTTCTCAACTTCATCTTGGGCTGGAGGCCCTGGTTCTACGAAGGATCTACAAGTCATCTGCTTTGTCTGGCCCTTCTTACCTGCCTGCCTTGTACTCCTTCTGTGACCACCATGTGTGGACCAGGCACCTCCATCGCATGTCATTTTGTTGAATTTGCAGTGAGTATCAACATTTCCTTTAGCCCTTTATAGGTTATCCATGTGGGTTTTCATGACTCTTATTGTATGTAATTCCTGCTTTGTGATGGTTCTGTTCATAAAGAACATCTTTTCTACAAACTTCCACCAACATACTTTGCTGTCCCACATTATTGCCAGATGTTTGAAAAGACAGGTAAAAAAGAGGTTCAGGGCTATGAGACCTAGGCCCTGCCAGGACAGTCAGGAAGAGAATGAAGAGGAAGTGTGCTGTTCTGCTGCTTCCAATCACTTACACAGCCCTTTCAGCTGACACTTCCCAAAGCAGTCTGAGCCATCTGTCTTTGCAGAGTGTGGCTTTCTTTGTCAGACTGGGTGGCAGTGTTGATGAGACTTGGAAAGTAAGATGTACAAAAGTCAGCGTCCAATTTTGGGAAGAAATATATACAAAATTATTTGTATTGTTACCTTCAAGTGCCGTGATATACATTAGCCTAAATAAGTTCATAAAATAATTTTCCCTGTGTCCCCTCGCCTCCAGTCACCAATCCCCTCCCCCTGGCCTCCACCACCACTCCATCACCGACCTACAGCCAGGCTTACTGTCTGAATGGGGGGTTGTCCAGGCCATTCATTTGTTCTTCATCCCTCTTCTGCTTCCAGACTTTTGGCTTCTGCTTGTTATTGTTTCCCTCCGAGGTAAGAATATAATAAGATGACATTAAAGTAGTCACTATTATCCTTTCTGGTACAAGTGTGGGTGAGAAGAGAACAATTATCGGCTGGAAGGGAATTTGAAGGATCCATATTGATTGTAGCTCCATGTATTTCATTAGCACACATAATTGATAGCACTTCCAGTGCATTAAAAATGATTATTCTTTACTGACTAGGTTGCATTATTAGCACACATGTATTTCATTAGCACACACAAGCAAGAACAACATCCATGGAGAAACAAATGAGCTTTTTTTTTTTTTTTACTAGCCATTTTGCAAAGTTAGTGAGTGGGTATTTGTAAAGCTGATCTACTAGTATATGTAAATGTAAACACCTCTGAATGCTATGGTGACATCTTTAAGTAATTGAAAGCTCAGTATGAAAGTCGTGTCCAGCCTTAAGACCATTCTCAGTTAAAGGTTACACCTTTTAATAGCTGAGTAGGCTGCCCCCTCAGACATATCTCAGAGCAGAGAATTTATTATATAAGGTACAATCTCATTGAGTATGCAAGGTAGATAACCTCATTAAGAAGGGAATGTGAAGGAGACACAGCACTGTTCAAATAGGGCAAACAGGGGCCAACAAGGTAGAACAAAAGGCAGTCATGGAAGTCAACCACTGCTTTTATTTTGTGTTTCATATTTTGTGCTGAATAAAATAGATTATAAGGGTCAGCTGCTTAAAATCAAGATGAGCCCAAGAAAGAGGCCAAGAGAAATTCATTCTTCTGTTGAAAAGCAGTAGAGTAAAACATAGCCTGTTGGCCCTGCACTAATCGAACAATCCAGAAGGTGAAAAATGGTGACTCCGTGGATGCAGCTTCCAAGGGCTGTAAATGAGGGGATCCTCCCTGGGGTCTACAAACCCCAACAGACCTGGGACACGCACTGCCCAGAGGCATGCGTATGCCCTAGTGGATGGCTTGATTATCCTTCCATTTCACTGAGTCTTCTTCTTCTTCTGGAATTGGAAAGTCACCACCTGTCTATGGAGAATTCTTCTTCAGCTGAAGTACTAACCAATAGTCTCCCGCTATTTAGTGTCTGCCTCTATGGTCACCTACCTTTATAACATCTACAGTCACTGCCATTAACTGTCGTTTAAAAAAGTAAATCACTCTTAGGCCTGCAGAACTGAACGTTCCTAAAATAGAAGAGGTACACGGGCTGGGAGGTTGTTAGGTTCAGATTTCTGCCTTGAGGCTGTTAGGGCACCCATGCACACAGGACACTTAAACTTCTCCTTTCTTTCCTTCTTTCCTTCTTTCCTTCTTTCCTTCTTTCCTTCTTTCCTTCTTTCCTTCTTTCCTTCTTTCCTTCTTTCCTTCTTTCCTTCTTTCCTTCCTTCCTTCCTTCCTTCCTTCCTTCCTTCCTTCCTTCCTTCCATACATTTGGGCAACAAACGTGTTTCTATAAGATGCTTAAACTCTTAAGCAACTGGTAGATAGGAGAATGAGGCCAGTGTAAGCCTAAAGTCATGTGAGTCATACATGATATGTTTTTCAGACCATTCATGCTTTGTGTCACAAAGCAGCAGCAACTGAAGCAACAAGCGGTGGAAGAGCATAGATTATAGAACCTATGGCCAAGGTAAGAGAACCATCAGGCTGTGGATGGCTGGGCTGAGTGCTTTTTCTTAGGAGCACTTATTGTGTGGTTCTCCTCAATCTGTTGGTATTCCCTTGTCTCCACAAAACAGCCACCTCAATCCTTTATTTCACCCCTTCCATCAAACTAGCTTCCCTCTTCCTCTGTTTCTTTCATTGTGATAAAATATTTATCGTTAAAAGGGTAGAAATTCCTTTATAGAGTCTTTTAAATCAGGAAGTTAACGACTCATTTTTTAAATTGAGAATATTTTTACTAGGTTTATTATTATTATTACTTGCACAGTTGCTTAAGTTTTTGTATAGTCTGCTTCTAACCCTGTTTTTCCTATGGCTCCTGTGACCTTGCAGGATGCAAGGATTTTTTGGCAATGCATGTATCCCTTATAGCAGAGGAGCCCGTTTTTAATATGGCCGTTTTAACAGATTTGTCCTACGAAGCTTTGCCAACACTGGAGCTGAATCACCCACACCCAGCCTAACAGTAAGACGTTACCAGAGCAGCCCTGAGATCTGAGGTCTCACAAGCTGTCAGTCTTACTGCCTCTCCATCCCAGCGAATGAGAATACACAAAATGCTGCCTAAGCATCTAAGGGTGACTTTTATGAACTTTCTTGTAAACATTAGAAATAATTTTTGGCGTCAAGAATATAGTTGCTCAGAGACACTGAAGCCCCTTTGTAAACCTTTTGTAGTTATATAAGAATTCTGAATTTTTCAGATGGGATTTTATTTCCTGTTCCCTCCCCTATCCCCTAGCCAGCACTCAAACACTTGCTGTGTCCTCTGACACTTGTGCTCATAACTAATTGGGCAAAGCAGTTATAGGAATGTGATCTCATGGGTGCTATTTCAATACAATAAGCATATAGTATGCGGAACACCCACAACATGGAAGGGTCTCTGCTACTATGTTAATTCTTTCCAATCAGAAATTGATGTATTGCCAGAGACCTTCTTGGGGCAACCAAAATGGGGTGAGTACTCAGGTATTTCTTTAGGGGTCCCTTAAGTCTGGAAGAGACCAACATGGTATTTTGCTGGATGTCCTATTTGCTGTGGTGTCTGCGAATAAGCTGGGAGCTGAGACGAGAGGGAGGGAGACTCACAGGCATACCTCTGAGGCTGCCTTTTGTCGCAACTGTTTCATCTCTATGATACTGGTTTAATGACAGGTGTCACGGGTGTACATGTGCTCACTTACCCCACAAAAGACCATAAAGCCTTGAGTGAGCTCAACAACTAAATTTCTCTCTGTCACTGACACAAAGCCAGCCTGGAATAGTGAAATTCCCATGAAATTGAACTGATCTTCAAATTATTGCTTAAATGATAGGACAGTCGGAACTTAAGAGCATATTAATGCTAATGGGAATTGCTCAGCTAATGGTGGGCAAGACCAGTTGAAAGGCGCACCAGGCATGCTACAAAAAAGCCATTATGCTCATCTTTTTGTAGATGCATGATTTGTTTTATTCTTAAAACATTTGAGGTTTAAAGTTTTTATACCATGCTTTATGAATAGAAGTGTAATGAGGTTGAAAACCAAAATAGTGCTCACCACTGTGCATAGAAATAGAAAAAAGGAGCTTTAGCTGAATGGTGCCCATTTGAATCCCCTCTTCTAAAAATCCAATTTAATTTTTTATCACTTGTCTCATTAACCCTAAGATTTAGAAAATCGAATGTGACCTGAGTAAAATAAGGGTGACAATGCAAAAATATTTTTATCGTGCTTAGTTTTTGGATTAATCTTCTCCTTAACATTTTAAAATTAAAATGTCTTTATGCTATGAAATGATTTTGCAATATGTAGGTGATTTATTGCTAGCTTTGGATCCACCTGTCTTACATGTATACTGAGCTTTTATTTATGCTTTGAAAATATAGCAGATAAGAAGCATAAGTGTTTCTGATATTATGTTTTGTCATCTCCAGCTAAGAAGATTGAAATCCTGAGAAACAATTTTCTGAAGAAATGAAATCGCCTGCCCTCCTGAACCCTTTGGGGAAAATCGCCCCTCTGTTTGTTCAGAATATGAAGCAGCGACACAGTACAAGCGAAATAGCCAGCCATGCCACACAGGTGACATTTCTATTTGTAGCATTTGAAACGATGTTTTAAAAAGATTTTCTGGGGTTTTATTTATTTATTTAAGAAATAACTGGTACAAATAATATACGAACAATCTTGCTGATGTAAGATTTCTCAAATCAGATGTATTTATTCTCTGGGAAACTTGGGAGATGGCTTTGAAACCCTTGCGTTGTGTAACTTCACGGAAAACGTATGAAAGGGAGATTTTGGAATTGCCCTAGAGTGGTGTCATTTTTGAAAATACTAACCGAGTCCTCCAACGTTCCATCTCCTGGACGTGAGCGTGGCCCCCAAAAAGTCCTTTCAGAGGAAGGAAACTTTTTTTTTTTTTTTCAGTTTTATGGCTTTATTTAAACACAAACGAAGGGTGCCCACGAGCTGCCCGTCCATGTCCTTCGCTGTCCAATGTGGCGTTGGGATTGGTGACTGTGCCGGCCGACTGGGCTGCTCTCTCTAGGGTGGCTCTGTGGCCCTTGGAGGAAGCTCAGGGAGCGATCTCAGCGCAGTAAGATCTGCTGCACGCGGCGCCGCCAGCTCCTAAGTGTCGTGTGTTGGGACGGGCGGGCGGGGAGCCACCGGGCAGCGCGTGCTTTGTTTTCTTGTTGCTCCAGGAACCAACGGGGGTGGGGGGGTGGGGGGGGCATCAGGATCCGGCCCTTCCATCTTCTCTGCACCCTATGGTCCACCCTCTGGTTTCCACGAGTTCCGCTTCAGTTTACAGCTCGGTGCCACTGCTGCTGGGTGACCTTCCTCGGTCTTGGGCTTTGCGGGAGGCCTGAGAGTGGCCGTGCTGCTGCGTCGGAGGCTGCAGGTCTGGAGGCAAGAGGGGCGGGGAAGGAGCGCTGTTTGAATGTTTCCTTTCTAACTGCTAGGTTTTTCAAAGAGGATATACTCTCATTTAGAGTGAGAAATTTCCTGGGGCTGGTTTGTGGTGCAGCGGGTTAAGCCACAGCCTGTAGCACTCAGCATCCATATGGGTGCTGGTTCTAGTCCCAGCTGCCCCACTTCAGATCTAGCTCCCTGCTAATGCACCTGGGAAAGCAGCAGAAGATGGCCCAAGGGCTGGGGCCCCTGCCAGTCTCATGGGAGACCCCAGTGGATTTCCAGGCTCCCCACTTGAGCCTGTCCCAGTCCTGGCCATTGTGGCCTTTTGGGGAGTGAACCAGTGGTTGCAAGATCTCTCTTTTCTCCCTCTCCCTCTCTGTAACTCCACCTTTCAAACAAACAATAAATAAATACTTAAAAAAGAATTTTTATGTATTGCAATTTCTCATCGCTTGAGTTATAATTGATGCCCTTGACAAGATGATAGTCTGGATAAATCAGAACTGTTAAATTTTCTTAGGTGCTTCCTTAATTAATGATAAAACTTGTCCTCAAGGACTCACTTTCTTTTAGTGTATTAAGTGGAGGATATTCTTATGACTCATAAGTTATAGCTATGTCTAAGTGCTCGCAAAAGATGTATTATTCTTGGGTGCTTCTTTAAAGTTAATTAAGTTTCTTAAAAAAAAGGAAGTGAAATTAACTTCGAGATGTAATGACTTTGAACAGCCCTTGTCTCGACCGTTAGTTTTTTGTTGTTGTTGTTTGTTTTCTGTGCAGTTTGTTGAACTCTTTACTCAGTATGGAGTTGGTCTTTTGTGTATAAAGTTAATTGAAAATGGATCTTAGTGGAGAATGGGACTGGGAATGAGAGAGGGAGGAGGAGGAGGGGTGGAAGAGTGGGTGGGAGGGCAGGTATGGTGGGAAAAATCACTGTATTCCTAAAGTTGTACTTACGAGATGCATGAAGTTTGTATTCCTTAAATAAAAGGTTTCTTTGGGGAGAAAAAAGATAGTGTAAAATCAAACTTGATCCCCCTCCCACACAAATTGACATAAAATATACAAGCACTTTTGGCACCATATCTCTTGGCCTTCTTATAAGATCTTAGACTTAGGAAGAAGGGGTTTTCCTTCTCCACTTTGAATCTGATTAGACAAATCACATAAGTAAGATTTTTTGAAATTTACCTTGCAGGTAAATTATATTATGAAATTTTCACAGAACGTAACTGAGCAAAACCACCTGTCAGAGGCAGTTTGTAAATAATGAAAGAAAAATCTATCACCATATTTATATTCAAATATTACTTTTGATACCAAATAGTTTTTTAAGTTTGATTACTTTACCTTAATCAACAACCTTGGCTCCAAATATTTGGGCTCATTTCAAAAGCCCAGACTTGTCTGTAATGATAAAGATTTGGCACCATTAGGAATATTCAGAGGAAGGGGAAGGAAGCTGTGAAGGACATCCCTAAGTGGAATTCCAGTGCTGCTTAGAGAAAGAGCAGTCTCCTAGGACAAGGGCACAGTACAATACACATAGCTTCGAAGGGAAAAGCACACATTTGGGTGGTAGACTCTACCACATTTCCATAAACATCAGCTGCCTTACTGTGGAGTCATGGCTGGTGCACCATTTTGATTTAGAATTCATCTCTTCCAGTTCCTTTAAGAACTGAGAAAACCTGAGGGACTGCCACAGTTTAAAGCACATGGCATCACTTGTCCTGCAATCTGTGGGCGCAGACAAGAGAGGCGGGCCCAAGAACTGTAGATGGTGATTGAATAGTCAGGAACTACCTTCAGGGAAGGGTTGCCTGACCAAACAGCCTCTACAATATACATTTGCACACTATTTTAAATAGTGAGACAGTGCTCTGCTTGCATTAGCAGGAAGCCAGAATCAGGAGCAGAGCCAGGACTTAAACCCAGGCGCTCTGCTATGAGACAGACGTGGGGGTCCCACTCAGCATCTTAACCACTAGGCCAAATACACACCCCCATTTACGAGCTGTTTTCACTCCAAGGGCCAAACTCCAACTCGTTTAAGGAAGAAGACGATTTGGGGGGGAAGGCAACAGATTTATCTTATGTGACCTAAATTCAGGTGTAGGAGGTATTATGATTTGGATATTTGTCCCCCCAGAGCCTCGTATATTGGAGGCTTGGTCCCCAAAGTAGCAGTAGTGGGAGGTAGCAGGTTCTTTAGGAGTTAAGGCCAAGTGAGAAGTCCTTACATCACTGAGGGAACTACCCTTGGAAGAGATCAAGATGGGTCACACAAGATCCCCTGGGAGTCCTCATGGTAGGGTTGTTATCAAAGCCCGAGCCTGGCCTCACCCAGCCTTTGCCTTCTGCCTCCCCACGTGATCTCTTCTCTCCACAGATGCTCCCAGCACGGTCATCTACTGTGAGGTCCTCGCTTGAGCCGAGCTGATGGCAGCACCATGCGCCGAGTGTCCACAGCTGTAAGCTAAATAGACTTTCCTTTACAAAGTTAACCTGCCTCAGGAACTTCATGATAATAATGCAACACTTCCTAATACAGGAGTCACGTGGCCAGACCTTAGCAACGACAGAATGCGGGCAGTCAAATGCACTTCGAGGGGCCAAGGGTGTGGTGCAGCAGGTTGAGCTGCGGTCTGCAGCACCAGCATCCCACATGGGCACCGGTTCAAGTCCCAGTTGCTTCACTTTAGATCCAGCTTCCTGCTAATGGGCCGGGGAAGGCAGTGGAAGATGGCCCAAGTGTTTGGGCCCCTGCACCCACCTGGGAGACACAGATGAAGCTCCTAGCTTCTTGTTTTTGCCGGGCCCAGCCCTGGTTGATGTGGCCATTTGGGGAATGAACCAGTGGATGAAAGATCTCTCTCCTTCCTCTCTCTGTCTCTTCCTCTCTCACTCTTAACTCTGACTTTCAAATAAATAAATCTTTAAAATAATATGCCATTAGAACTGCTCTAACTTTTGGCTGTGTTTCTCTCTGCCTGATGGTTTTATCCCCATCAGCTGTAGAGTGATGTCCTCTGTGTGGTAAAGATACACAAGCAATGACTCCAAGGTCAATATGTTACAACTCCTGCCACTAGACTCTCCCATTGTCCCCTCCTAGTCCTAGACAGGCACACCTCTAGTTCTACCAGCTGTGACAAAGGAAGTCATGTATAATATGGCAGTTCCCACTGGGATCTTTGTTGAAGCAGAAAGCAGTTGGGGAGAGTTCTCCAGAGAAGGGAGGTTTGGGACAGAAAACATGGTAGCATCACACCTCAATTTCCAACCAGAAATATAAATGTCCCAGGAACAGAAGTAGACAGGACCTTAAGCACAGTGTTCTGAGTGCCTAATGCAGGTTTGAATTTGATTGGCTTCCGGATGTCTTTTGTCCTAATAGTTGCATATCGAGACTTCAGGTAGTTAAATTAGTGGATCTCTTTGCTTATAGGTAGAGTATATTCAATCATTGGCTATAAAAATATTAGCTTAATATATTTCTAAACATAGTTCTGTGTCTTACAGCCAACAAAGAACCTGTTTTATTTCTTAAATTCTTATACTTAATTTAAAAACTTGTTATATTCTTGTTAAGAAGGTTGGCCCAATTGAAGGATTTATTCCATTATAAGATACATTGGGAATTTTGATTCCAGACTCTATTAGATTTTAATTTAATTTAAATTGTTAAGCAAGGAGAAGCCAAAAAGAAAATCTGCCAAAAAGAAGAAATAAATGTGATTTATGCTATCTCCTAGTAAGTGTCAGGGATCAGATGAAAACATGGTGAGCAGGCTAAAGAGGAGGCCCGGCTGCCAGTTTTGGAAATGTGATGGCACTGAGGCTAGCCGATGTCCCAGGTGCCCTTCATTGTTAAGAGTTATGGATAGAAGTAGTCTCAAAAATATTTTTGGCACTTAAAATTACTTGGGAGAGAGGGACTGATGGAGGAAGCGGGGGAGGGGGAGGAGAGGGAGAGAGCGAGTGCGAGAGAGAGCTGGAGCTAGTTCTCAACCACTGGTTCACCCCTCAGATTTCACAACTGGTACTGGGCTGGGCCATAACTGGGCACTGGGATTGCACTCTGGGTCTCCCACAGGGGTGGCAGGAGCCCAGTGACTTGAGCCATCACTGCACTTGCTGGGATCTCAGTTAATAGGAAGTTAGAATTAGGCTCAGAGTCAGATAGAGAACTCAGGTGTTTTGACTTGGGTGTAGGTGTGTTAACACCTGCTCCTCCCTGTACCTTTTGGTTATGGTCATCACTTTTTCCAACAGGAGGTATCAGATTTGATATAGATGGAAAGATCTTGGGATTGGATCCACTTCCATCTGCAGAATCTCTGTCTTTAAAAGACAGAAGAAATTCTCCTTGTCTTGGGGAAGATCAAAAAGCATGAGATCTGGGATCACATACCTGGGAGTCACAGTGTCTTTTATAAACACCAAATTTTCTGTTGGATTGTTGGCAAGCCTTTGTTTTCCCACGAGTTGTAAGTATTCACTCATGGGCTATATTATCTAATTAGAAACACTATGTTTTTAATACTTCAGTAGTTACATCAAAAGTGTTAAATTTAAAAAGGGAGTAGATCTTTCCTAAGCACTGCTGAAATTTTCCAGGATGATTTACTTTTTAAAAGTTTTTTTTTTTTTAACCATATTTCTTTCTGTTGGCCAGCTTCAAAATAGATCACCATGGCTAGATCTTAAAAAAAAAAATGTCCAAATAGGTGGACACATTTTTAAAACAGCCATGCTATGCTTCTTTTGGGTGCTCTCAATGTCAGATAACCTGCTGGTCTGCTCATTCATCCCAGGGACTTGCTGTGTTTCTAGAGTTGATCCTTTGGTCTGATTGATTACATCTTCTAGCTCTCTTGGCCAAACCTTGTATTATCTGTCTCTTACCCATCCCTTTCCCCCTCCCTTCACCACTCTCGTGCTCACTACTACTTCCCCATCAGTTTTCAACACCCCCCACAATTCTTTGCTTTACCCAGCCTCTCCTACACCTTGTTCCCGCCTCTTCTCAGCCACAGAAAAGTCTGCTCCAGCTTCCTCCTCTTTAACCGCGAATTCTGCCTGCACTGTTCTCAACCCGTGAAAGTCACTGGTGCCTGCTCCGAGGCCTTCCCCTGCCACCCTGCTGCGCTAGGCGCTGTTGGCCACTCCTCCTTGCGCTGGGTCCTCCGCAGCTCACTGTCCTCCAAGAACATTTCTCGTTCCGGTTCTCTTTCGCGGTTGCCCTGCGGGGGCGGGGTGGGGGGCTCCCCTTCCTCTGTGCACTCTGCCCGGAGTGCTTTACGTTGCTTTTGATCTTCTTGCCTCTTTTACAGGGAATAAAGCAGTTCCTGCGGATTTATTTGTATGTCTGTATGCTGATAGCTCCAAGTCTGATATTTTCAGAGCTGAGATGGTCATGAAATAATACCTGATTCCACAGCTTTGTCCTTCTAACTGTCCATTCCTCTACTATCATGAGTTATTTAAAAACAATATTAACTCTGTCAGTTCTCTTTCTAAAATTCCCCCAGTGGCTCCTCACCATGTACAAGATAAAGGCCAAACCCCCGCACTCGGCAGGAGTGTGTAGAGTGTTTCCTATCCGATCTAAGCTACCAGCACACCAAACACAAGGCCTTGAGCCTCTGACGCTGTGCAGGCCCGTGGGCCTCTGTTCCTGCTGCTCCCTTCCCCTGGTCCCCTCCTCCTTAGCTCTAATGCCTGAGGAATTCTTTATCCCTAAGGTCCCACTCACGTTTTGTTTTCCTTATTCTCTGAACTAACCCATCCTCTCTTTTGCTTTTTGTCACGTTTACTTCCTCTGTGCCAGAGACTCCATATTGTAACTATTAATGTGTCTGTCTCTTGCTAAACGGTAGGGACTCTGAAGTTAGGTCCCATATCTCACTCATCTATCCATCTCACAGTCTAGCATATGTAAATCCTCCATAAATGTGTATTAATTGGTAGGTGACGAAGTTGCCTAAACCACCTGGTGATTCTGGTGAAGCATAGCCCTGGATATAATTATATCATGTCAAAGAATCCAAATAAGAAGATAATATTAAAGAATATGAAAACCACTCTAAACCTTCCCTGTATTTAGTCTCAGGGCTCTGGGGATTATATTAGCAGTGATCTTCTAGAGTATAAATACTTATGATGATTGCTTTGTTTTTAAGTTTTGATGCTAGCATTTAGCTTACCTCTAGAATTCCTAGTATCCAATCTGGCCTTCCCTTCAGCAAGGTTAGTATTTTGTTACTTCTGGCCATCTGGCTTTGCCTGTTCCCACTGGCAATTTTGTCTGTGAGAAGGTGTCCCCTGATACTAGCACAGAATCATTTGGGGCATCAATAACCAGAAATGGTGAGCCTCTGGGAGCACAGCTGAAGTGTTGCCATGTGACACGGAGAGTACTGGGCCATTGGCTTGGCTCTAGTTCAGCTAAAGGCAAAGTCATGAAAATTGTCTTGTTTCTAAAACCCTCCAACAAGGAGGTGTCACCTCCTCTGACCATGCTCCTTATGTCTCTGTTGGTCAATCAGCCAGTCGATCAATCCTACCACCTTACTCCACAAGATTTGAGGATAGCTTATTTGCTACATAAATATATCAAGATAACAAACATTAGAAATATTTTTTAAAAAGGAACAGTAGAGGAATAAAATGTAATCAAGAATTACACATATATAATTCCCA